CTTCTTTTTCTCGAAATCCAAAAGAAGTTATTAAGGTTGAAAAAAAATACTTCTCAAAGTCCAGAGAGTATAACAACTTCCATTAAGCCCCAGCTATTTAGGGTTGATATGGTGATCAAGTGTGCCAAATAGGTTATGCCTGGTCATTATACGTTCAAATATTTGCGAACAATGATTTATGATCAACTTAGCTGTGAGGGAAAATTAATTCAATTAGTGATGGAGACCATGATTATTATTATTATTTTTTTTAAAGTAAGCAAACCCATGCAATTGCAATCTCTCTGTTCATTCACATGTTTTCAAACGAACGCTATCAAAATGAGTGTTGACATTAATGTAAAAGCATGATATGAGTGTTTATGGTGCCTAACTAGTCAAAGCTTGTGTCTCCATTTAAAACAGGCCTGGAACGAATCATATATGTGTGTGGGTTATGATGTTACTCGTAGAGTTGTAGTTGTGGCTTACACTATTCACGCACATCTACATACATCCTTGATTATCCCAAACAATTACCAGAGAACTCATTGCATCACGACGTTTATTGACTGATCAACGAACACATAATAAAATAATATCTCTGTCGGTCAGAGCAGAATATAATTCTTCATAATAGCTTCCTCCGTTTCACAAACAGCATGAAGATGTTGTTTAATAACTAGATGACCGCAGCAAGTGCTAATGAAAATATCTCCAACCGTCACTCTGTCGGTTTTCTTCCATCCCATCATTCATTAACTTCCGATTATTCCTACTTAACAAAACAATAAAAATTTTTACTAAACTAAATTGATATCGAAATATTTGATACGTGAGAAGACCAATACCCGGTTGTTGCAGCTTATGTCCTATTCTAAAAAAATACTTTACATCACGTCGAAAGCTCGGAGACGGTTGGCGTGTAAATGTGACTATGGGTCCTGGAAATATGGGCAACACAATCAATGTAACCCTGATCTCATATAGTTATTGGGATTGCATAATATGCTTTTCAAGCATATTTAAAAAAAAATTTATTACGTTTTAATAGCATTGAAATCAACTATAAATCATTTTGGAGAGTAAAACCTCTGTGTTAAAACTGTTACTGTATCATTTGTTACAGACAGACGCATGTCAAGGCTGCCCGTCTGGACAAGAGTGTCAATTTATTAGGCCACCTTGTCCCCCTCCACCTGGCTGTGAGGGACCGGACCTATCGGGATGCATCCGACCGTTCTGTGTTCCCGTGCCACGTTGCGTACCTGCAATAAAAACAACTCCAATACTGGTATGTCTGAGTAATGGACGTGGCGCAAATGAACTCTTCCATTATATTGAGGTTAATACAGGACGTGGAACGGTCTGTGTCCTATCTACGTTGCTTTTCATCATTCACATGGGCACAGTTACAAAGTTGGCCAATCTAAATCCTGCTGATTCAACGAGTTTGTATTTGCAGACGTTCCACTGAATCAAGAACGAATAACGAGGAATAGTTGCACTGCCGTAATAATAGCCTGAGGAGTACCTGTCCATTTTTTGGGGGGATGAGTATCATGAAAGATAAGACTGATGTGATGTCAGGTGATGTCACCATAGACAAATACAAACTGGACTTAACTGTAAGTGGTCAGAGAGAAAGAGGCGAGACTAGAGGCCAATAGGGTTTTGTTATTTAATGGCGGAAATCTATTGATAGAACATCCGGGAGTACAGCCTAGCCGATCTCATTAAGATAGTATTTTAACATCCTGGTGTTTTGGTACTTTTACGTTAATATGAGCCTCAAATAGACGAAAGCGTGTTAAAAAGTTTATTTTACGACATATATTTAACAAATTAATTGTTACTTCTATATGCATGCTGAAAAAAATTGTGTCAAGCGTTGTTTTACGAAAAAAAAATGTCTAAAAGTAGTAACATTACGTAATGCAAAATGACTAATTCGGTCTTAGAAATGACAAACTCTATTTGGGCAGCTAGCACATAGCCTCGCTACTGAGACACACGACGATAAAGATGGAGACCAAAGTCAGACTTGGGCTCTGAATACAACTCCAGTGGGGAAAAAAAAACAACTGCTCTACTGATATATGTGGTGTCTAAGGCAAGCAAGCATATGGTAAAACTAGAAATGGTCATATTCGAAACTAGGTAATAGTGTCGATGATATACCACTGAGCCGGTATATTTCTAAACAGCAGAACAATTTATCATTTGGTTTCGTCCAGCTCGACAGAAGGCCTGTCAAACAGCATTGAATAGCCATCCTTCAATAGCAGGAAGTCTAGAATCAGGGCCAGAGGGCGATCACGCTGGCGATAGACTGTGTTATGGACACCCTAAATAAAATCAACAACAAGCAACTTCACCAGGCCACATAATTTGTGGCCGATCACCTTCATTACTTTTGTAATATTTGTTTTTCTGCTTTTTTAATTGTTTTTGTTTGTTAGTTTGTTTGCTATTGTTTGACTTTGATTTTTTTTTTTTTTTTTTGAAGGCTGTGTGTGGTGGTGGGGACCAGCCATTAGCTAAACCCTTTGAAACAATGGAAGAATCTTAAAAATTCAGTACCCCGAAGAAAGTTGAATTTATTTCGGCGTCGCAAGATCAAAAATTTTTTTTTCTTCAAATTTTAACAGGTGGACCCTTGTGGCGGATGTGGAAAGGGTCAGGTTTGCATCGACACCGGCTTACGATGCTCTAAAACACCCTGTCCCAGTCACCAATGCGTGACCAATGACTCCTGCGGGGGATGCCCACGGGGTCAGTCGTGTCAAGAGTTCTTCCCGTGATGTTTGCCACCGAAATTCTGTGATGAGGTTTTACCAAATGGTCAGCTTGCTCCGTGCCTTGTCTCAGAATGTAAAACAATACACTCGTGTGTGCCCGATGTGACGGTAGGTGACTTGTGCGGTATGGACGACGTTGTCGCAATGCCTCGAGTAATTATATAATTTGTGTCAGAGAAGAAAAAACAACAACAAAAGTTACTCTGTCCCCCGGAACTTACTTTTGTTTGTAAATAAATTCTTTGCAGTTTAAATATTAATTATTCACAAATATTTAATCTGACTTTGCTTTGCAATTATGTCTGGCCAGCGTAGAAGGATCATGTTTCAAAAATGTACTCAATGTTTGCCACACACCAGTACGTTTATAGTTTGTTTTTTGTTTGGTTTTTTTTAAAAACTTAAATGTGTTCACATCTAAACGAAATCTGCGACAACGCACAACGTGTGTGTCAATGATTTTTGCTATGCATAAAACATATTCAATACATTAATATTTTTTAAGATAACAGCAACCGTATTTCATTGCTTTGATTTGCTTATAATTTTTTCACAGCCAGTCGATCAATGTGGTGGATGCCCTTCGGGACAGAAGTGCCGATTTACAGGAGTAGTTTGTGTAATGGCCCCGTGTCCTTCTTTCGCTTGCTTTGATTCGGATGATTAAAGATTGACAGAAAGGAAATTCTCCTTCGAAAAATATTAAACGTAGATATATAGATATATATTTAGAGGAGAGTGAGAGAGAGAGAGAGAGAGAGAGAGAGAGAGAGAGAGAGAGAGAGAGAGAGAGAGAGAGAGAGAGAGAGAGAGAGATCTAGGTTAACTTAATGCCTGTGTATCTGAAGGAACACTGTTCTAATTGCAGTGTTAAAAACAATATATATTAAGTAAGCTATATTCCTTAACTAAGTTTTTGCTTCTATTTATACTAAGCACTGCGATGTAAAAGAAGTTAATTGTTAAGAATTAAGACATGCCTTTAAAAAAAAAATTTACAAATACGTTAAGTTTATATATACCGTATTTTCCAGCGTATAAGACGACTTTTTAATCCATGAAAATCTTTTCAAAAGTCGGGGGCCGTCTTACACGCAGGGGGTCGTCTTATGAGCTGGTGTACAGCCAAACGCTAGATTTTAAAAGAAAAATTAGGGGGTCGTCTTATACGCCCAGTCGTCTTATACGCCTGAAAATACGGTACATAAATATTTTTTTTAAAAATACTGTAAATGAAGGTAAAGCTAAATACATTCGCCATAATTCATTCTGTTTGTATCGAATAGTTTTATTTATTGCTCATTTATAATTTATATATATATCTATATATTTCTCCGTATGATTGGAAGCTTGACCGTAGAAAACGCCCAAATCTCATGTGTGTCTGTGTTTTTTTTTTGTGTGGCTTTTCTTTTTATTTTTAAACTATGAATTTAAATCTTACTCTAATCTTTAAATAAGTTGGGACGCGGTCTTGTCTTTTTTTTTTTTAAATGTATCTTTTTTTAAATTGTTTTTTTTTTTATTACCAAAGATCAAAATGTTATTCTCCGTCTAATACGCAGACAAAATTAATGTTAACATTCTCATATTTCCATTACATTTTTTTTGGGGTCCAATTTCAACACGATTTGCATTTTTTATTTTTTTTTTTTTTTTTTTTTCTTTTTTTTTTATTTTTAAACTATTAATTTTAATTTTATTTTAATTTTTAAATAAGTTTGGATTTTGTTTTTTTTTTTTTTTTTTTAAATGTATCTTTTTTTAAATTGTTTTTTTTTTTATTACCAAAGATCAAAATGTTAATCTCCGTCTAATACGCAGACAAAATTAATGTTAACATTCTCATATTTCCATTACATTTTTTTTGGGGTCCAATTTCAACACGAGTTGCATTTTTTATTTGAGATATTCCATAACTGGGGTTCATAGGTCCCTCGAATACATTTTAGACGTCCAGGGATCATTATTTGAAAGAACAGGTTTTATATCGTACGCACCCCATAATTGGTTGAACGTAGATTTACAGCAATCCCCTAAATGTAAGTCTTAACTTTTGAGAAGTAATCATTGCTAATTTTAACGAGGGCCTTGTGGAAATTTGATCATAGACCGTAACAATTTACCGCATTGCTGACAGCCGATTTTTTTGTACGATAGACACTCTATTTGATTATGGAGTATGCATTTTATGATAAACTTTTTATAAATAGAAGAAACAAAAACAAAATGTCAAAGAATAATTATCAATCGAGTACACATAGCACTTCATTCAAATAATTCTAATGTAGTTATATATATTATACATATAATTATAATTTGATAATGCAACTGCACGATATGTTAACCCAAAATATAAGAAAATGGTTGTCGCTGCAAGGAAAGGAAGATATTTAAAACTTGGAATAAAACTTTTCAGCTAAAAGCTGTTTATCTGGAGACCATTCCATACACCTATAATAACGAATTTAGGGAAACACTGGAAATTTTTAAGTATAGGACTGGTTCATGGACTTACTGACAATATAATTGGAAACACTTCTGGGTATTCAACAAATACAAATAACTATCACCATCAGTTATGGGGATCTGGCCTTCAGCGCATCGTTTCACGAGCATCTGACCATCATAGGGTTGTGGAATTGGGAGAGTCTTTTGATAAATGTATAGGGTCCTTGGTTTGTTGTTATCACAACAGCATAAATAAATAATGATAAACGTATATGTTTTAATGAAGGTTTCAACACTCCCACTCTGTGTACTAGATAGACAGTGGATTTATCCAAAAGTATAGACTCTGCCATATAACGTTAAGGGGGCTGGGGAGTAGGCCTATATTGGAAACGCTAGCATTGACGATCTCTTATATAGTATAAAATCCCAAACAAAAAGTGCACATAAAAATATCAGGGGGAATAACTGCACTAGTTAAGCGCGTATCGGTAAAGTATATTTGGTGTAAAATCTAGGCATGTATTACTATGGTTTGACATAACATCCAGGTATGTATTACTATGGTTTGACATAACATCCAGGCAAGTATTACTATGGTTTGACATACTGGCCATGCCTTTTTGACCATTAATTGACATACTGGACATGGTTTGACATAGCTATACTAATATGGTTTGACATAACAGCCGGTTGTGTATATTAAGGTTTGACATATCCAGTCTTGTGTTACTTTGGATTGACATAACAGCTAGGCTTGTCTTAATATGGTTTAATTTAACAGCGATGCCTGTATTACTAAGAATAACGAGGCTCGTAACAGAATGATTCCCAGTTGAACAGTTGAACGGCAAGAAAAATGTTGAATCCATAAGTTCATTACAATTTTAATATACTTCACACATTAGCCATGACCAAAAATACTCAATGCACAACGGGCACCGCCGTGCAGACCCTTCTGTTACACTGTGAGATACAACACCTCTCACTGAGGTCTTTCCTACAGTTCTCGTCACTGGCGCAAAATCTTACCCTGAACTTCTCTCCGAGGCAAGCAAAGTTTAAAAGCGGCAAGAATCTGCTCACTTTTGGGCAGCTGCCCAACTGGGGCTCGTAATTGACGCACTCACTTGTGGGGCACGGCTGTACAAGGCAGTTTACCCCGGACGGCTTGCAGACTTGACCTTGTGGGCAACCGCCGCATTGGTCGATGGGTGGAATGGGCTGGATTGGAAAAAAAATATTAATAACAGGGGTCTCTCTCTCTAATTATATATATTTAAATCCACACATTTAGTTTACTTTTGGAGAAATTTGGTAAACACGAGTTAAGGTAATTAATTAATCGATGTTTTCCTCAAAGAAATTCACACATAAATTAACTTTCAAAATCAAACCATTTCGCAAATTACTTTATTGTATTGTTATTATTTTTTGTGTGTGCAAGCCTACCGTTAATTTAATACACTATTTTAAAAATTCAATTGTGAAGTGTCTTCCTTTATTACAAATAACTAATGGGATGCTACCTAAGTGGGGTGAAAACAAAATTGTGAATTATTAATTATTGTTTTATATCCTTCTTTCCGCAAAGTACTACATTCTCTACTATTATCAGTAATCATGAGGTTATATTTATTAGACAAGTTTAACTAAGAAAAGACATTCATGTATATTTTTTTTTCTTATTTTGTTGATCTTCCAATTCAAAATAAAACATATGTGGTAAAAATCAAGTAATCTTCATTAGTGAATCATGTTTCGGAAATTCTCACCGGTAGACATGTTGGAACCACGACCGGCACGCAAGACGTACCTGTACCTTGCACACCTTGCGTACCTGTAGGACACCCCATTTGTCGTAGTTGACACGTCTGACCTGTAGTCCGTTGGAAGAGAAATGTTTTTAAACATATTTGAATAATATGTTACGACGAAAACTTATGGGAGAAACCCCGTCTTTGAGCATTATTTTTTTTTTCTTTTGATGGGTGGATGGGACCAGTCAAACTTAGATGGGAACTCGTTCAAGAGAAGACAAACCCTATAAAAGAGCTTTCTCGCAGTCCCAAACGCGTATAATTGATTACTTTAAAAAAGACTCGAGCACACTTTAAAGCATGTCTGCATTTTTCCATTCAAAAGGTGGCCATCCAATGAGATGATGTACCTGCTGGACATCCGGCTGGACATGCAAGCGCTGCTTCTGGGGCTGTAAGATAACAAAAATAGTTGACATTTATGGAAACGAATTTTGAAAACAATAAAAGCAATGCACTTCTTATTAACGCAATACTACATCCCCCCCCCTTTAATGTATCCCACTCTTTAATTTAAACACCCGATTTAATATTTAATTTTAATTTAATTTAAGTCTGTACTGGAACAAGATAGGTCAATTATTTTTGTGTTTTTAAGTTTCGAATTTTCATTCTTTAAACAAAAATAATACTCTTTATTATTTCGTTGGAAAGTTTTTTTAAAATGTATAATAAACTAGTATTATCAACGAACAAGTTATATTTAGATATAAATAATAACTTTAATACACTCACCAAGCTGACCCTTGGATTTAAAAAAAAATAGAATAACATGATTTGATAGAAAATAGGTAATTGAAACATAGTCATTTTTTTTAATTAATCGAAACAAAAATTTAAAAAATAAACTTTGCAATTAAAGTAATCGATATTTATATCTAATTATCTTTAATTAAAGTGAATCTCTCCAAACTATTGAAAAGCAGTGAAGCATTCTTCGTAATATTGTGTTGATTTAAAAAAAAAAATATATATAGATAATATTTGATTAAATAAGTTGCAATTAAAAATTAAAATCTAAAAAAAATGTGGAAAATAATGTGAATTAAATTAATATCCATTTATTTTTAGTTGCTTTCTAGCGTAGTGAGCCTTACCTGGGACACACATAGGAGGGCCTGCAATATTGAACAGGTAATTAGAGATAATTAAAATTAAATATGTTTTGTAATCAACATTTACATATATAGGTAGTAAACAGATAATTGGAGCTACAGAAAACAGGTCGATATCCTATATTACACCCTACAGGACAAAGTAAGAAAGTAATTGTATTAAAATTTAGAAGGTGTTAATCAACAAATGGGATATTTTTTGTACAATCACGACCGTTGGTTGTAAAGAGAAATATCTCCTGTGAAAGACTAAGTCATCCTCTCTTATAAATGCGGCTGTGTTACGACAACAGCAGTGTTAAGACCGCCACATGTGTTAAGACCGCCACATGTGTTATGACCGCCACTGTGTTAAGACCGCCACATGTGTTAAGACCGCCACATGTGTTAAGAATCGCCACATGTGTCATGACCGCCACTGTGTTAATACCGCCACATGTGTTAAGACCGCCACATGTGTTAAGACCGCCACATGTGTTAAGACCGCCACATGTGTTAAGACCGCCACATGTGTTAAGACCGCCACATGTGTTAAGACCGCCACATGTGTTATGACCGCCACTGTGTTAAGACCGCCACATGTGTTAAGACCGCCACATGTGTTAAGACCGCCACATGTGTTAAGACCGCCACATGTGTTAAGACCGCCACATGTGTTAAGACCGCCACATGTGTTAAGACCGCCACATGTGTTAAGACCGCCACTGTGTTATGACCGCCACTGTGTTATTACTACCTCTGCGTTACGTATACCGCTGTGTTAACGTCACTAGCTTTGAAACTGATCTGTCGTGATAATAATTCTCCAAAAAATTTTCTAACACATGAAATTATTGTACTATATGAATTTGCTGTTCTGATCTTTAGTCCTATCACAGCCGTCGCGTGGCCCTACAACCCCTTCAGCTGCGTTGGGGCCTCATCACTGATTTCATCCAGGGCGACGAATCATTCTGTTATTGGATTCGTTATATCCATTATTAAATATGACATTGAAATAAATGGATATTGTATGAACTTGCCCGTCGCGTATTATTTTTTTTTCGTGTGGGATAAATATTTGGCGATTTCTTCTTCTTCTTCTATAACTTAAGGGCCCACGATCAATTTATTGATCATTTTGGCTCCTATTTTTGCTAATTTCCAATAAAATAATCCGGAAATGCAACAAAAAAAAAAGCAGTCGGCAGTGACGGTAGCAGACACTTATAGATATGCACATTTTGCTTTAGCATGAGTTAACATCACAAGCGAGCTCACCAGAAAACTTAATAGCGCAGAGATGAACACCATTTTGAGAGATTTTCAAACGAATTCACGCGTTAAAATTTAACGCAAGAGGAGGCGTGCCTGGCTAGTCACTAGGGCTAGTGTTCTTATATTGGCCAAAATGGTGTCACCTGATATCCCCATGAATACTGCGCAAGGTGATAATACATGTGAAGGTATTATTTTCGTTCACTTTATTCTATTATAGCTTTTGAAACCCATACGTCTATGGCTAATTACAGCGTTTTCTTCTATGAGCTTTTCTCACTGGACAACATATTTAAAAATTCCCATGGCAGTATCGACTTAAGCAGTGCGTTCGGGTTTTGAATGGCAAAAAAAAAATGTTCATTATAGCGTGGGATGTGTCCTTTCATCTATCAGCCAGAAGTTAGGCTCTCACAAATGTAATTCCCATCCAAGGCAAGCCTGGTCATTCAAAAGGAAATGAGCGACAAAAGGTATCGGAAAATGTGGAAAAAAAGGCGCAAGTAAAGAAGGAATGTTTCGGCAAGAAGCCTCTTAAGTACCACCCCGGAGCTAAGTGTTAGTTTGATCTATTTTGTTTTTAGTTTTATTTGTTCGCTGAAGGCTTCTTTTTTGTTGTTCAGCGTGGTTCACTTTTCGACAACTTTACAATGAACCAGTGCTTCTGATACACATTAAAAACGTTTAAAATGATTTCTCCTAAAATAAGTCGTATTTGTTGTTGTTTTTTTTTTTAATTGTTTCCCAGTGCACTCGTTTACACAGTAAAGACGAGCCTTTTAAGAGCACATGAAACGACGTCAATGTATCAATCAATGTTTCTGCTTGAGGCCTGCTGTCGGAAGTCAAGTGTTGAGTCTTACTGAAGCTTCTGTTTTTGTTTTTGTTTTTTGCTATAATTAATGTCGACATCAGACTATTTTCCGGGTTTTATTTTTAATTCTTCAAACTGTACTTGTTAGATGTATCATAAGACATTTTGAGGTGTTTTCATGTAATGAATCTGTCATGTGTTGCTCTGGTAGATGACCATTTCGCCGAAAAGAGGGGAATTGGGTAAGCTTAGCATGCAATGCAATTCAACTTGATAACATTGATTTGTTTAAAAAAAAAACTGTCGAGTGTGTGCTAACATTGCGAGATCGGCAGGTTCAGTATCTCCCAGATTACTCATTGTAAATGTTAAAGTTAAAGTTGGGGTTGCTACAAATAAATGTAGTTGCTGATGATGGGATGCTCTAGGGGGAGGGGGGGGGAATACATTTCCAGCTACTGGTTACCGTTGAAATATGAATTTCATCTGAATAAATTAGGATTTGCAAATTCATGGATATTTTTAAAAAAATTGATTTGTAACGATCATAAATGATTGTTTGGTGACAGCGTGTGCAAACATACTCATCACAGATGTGTTGTTGTCAAAACAGTTTGAACACAACAAACATGTTTTGACTTAAGGTGGGACTAGTTTATTTTTTTTTATATACGTCAGTAATTTCCCTGACTTATCCAATAAAAACACCTTCTGTTTAAAAAAAAAAGAAGACATTGTTCTATCACTTAGTCTTACCATATTGTAATCCAAATTTAAAAAATCCACTACATTCTCCAGCTGTTAAGACAACCCGCCCACGAATTTAGGTCGGTTCACTTGAACATGTGTGCGGTAGCAAAATTGATTATGCCTGCTTCTAATTTTCAAAACGAGAAAGAAGTCCTCTCGGATATTTTTTTCTAATCTCTTTCTTCATGTAAATGTTTTCACCCCCAAAAAATATTTTAAATTAAAAAAAAAAAATAATTTAAAAAAAAATTTTGTTTCGTAATATTAAAAAAAAGAAATATGTGTATGACACAAACAGATCCAAAAGAGCCGTCGCTTGACTGCGCATGCCCCTTGTCACTTTTTGGTTTTATCCACACCGTCACCGCCCTACCCCCCCCCCCCCCAATCTTGCATTTAAGGTTCATAGTTAAAAGAAGAGTCCATCGTAACTTTAAACCGCTAACATATCCGAGGACTCCTGCAACCATAGTGGTAGCAGAGGTCCTCACGATTGCTCTGACGTCAAATGATGCCTAAATTATGCTCCCTGATCAAGTGTAGATGGGTACAAAAACTACATTTATATGGAAAAGCTTTAATGCATTCTTGAATATTGAATTCGTCAAAATCGGTTGCCGACTATATAACGATTTAAAGGGCGGACTAAGCTAGGGCCTAATGAACACAATGAAGAGCGCCACAACTGGAATGTATTTAGTTCTTGTTGGGCTGGAGCTGAGCTAGAGATTTCCCTTATCTGAAATGCCCTCTCCTAAGTTCTTTGAAAGACACTCACCGAATTCAAGTTTGGTTCAAAAAGTGTCCTTATATCTCGAATTTATCAAACATTTTCTAAGGGGACCCCGGCACCCGCTTTTGCTCTAGATGGTTCAGCGCCCTCGATTTCTTCTCCCCTCTCTTCACTCCCGCCACTCACTGCGAATGTAAAGGGTTGAATCTAAGCTTGCGTCCAATGATTAACCTGGGCCTGCTACAACCTGAGTGATTTCCTCCCCAACTCAGCTACGCCTCTGGCTGATGGCATTGACCACCCGAAAAAAACTGACACTCCCCCCAACCCTCCCCCCCTTCCCGCCCCTGAGCAAATTGCCCGAAAGAAACACTGAGTCCTGGTGAATGTGGACCGTTTGCAAAAGGCAGCATTAAAATTCCGAGAGATTTTCTTTCTTTTTTCCCAGATGGCACGAATTGACACAGATAAGCCGTATATAATTACATATTTTCGCAGTTTTTGAAAGGTACTTTACACCTTTTTCAGTACTATCAATTTTGGTGCATACCGTTTTTGTTGTTGTTTTTTTTGTTGTAAGTTATCTTATTACGCTATCTTTGGTAATTTCGATTAACACATTTTATTTAATCGTGCTCATTTCAAATGTATGTCGTCATCGTTCGGTAAACTTTATAGAAAACCATATTAACATGGCATTTAGAAAAGCCATAATATCATGGTTTTTACATCACAAAACCAATGATGAAACTTGTGTATTTAAAATCAGGGTTGTTAATATAGCAATATTGTATTGGTATTGGTAGTATTGCCAATACTTTTTTAAGTATTGGGACGATATTGCAATACTTCTTGAAATTTGATATTGGTATTGGTATTGCCAATAATTATTTTTGATATTGGTATTGATTTTTAACCAATACTAAAAGCAATATTCAATAAATTCTCTACAATATTGGTTGTGAATAAAGCTGAATGTAATAAATTTTTCTTTGGTGTCGCCATCTTGCGAGTGACATTGCCAAACAACTTTTGAATGAGACTGATCAATGAAATGAATGATAATAGAAATCAAATCATATATGATATCTTTGGCAATGAGCATTGACCAGTGACTTACCAAGGCTCGATTAAGGCTTAGGCACTTTAGGCACCGTTTCAAATCATATATGATATCTTTGGCAATGAGCATTGACCAGTGACTTACCAAGGCTCGATTAAGGCTTAGGCACTTTAGGCACCGTGCCTAGGGCCTACAAACAAAAATAAGGCCAAACAAAGAAAAAAAAATTTTTTTTATTTATATAATATTAAATTTGTTGTAATTCATTCACAATATGTGTACAGTATACATATTAAAAATCTTGTTGCTTAAGGACGTTAAGGTATGCCGACTTATTTAATATGTTGTCAAAGACTTTTGAATGCTTTGAGGAAAATTGATGAAGCAAGTGTTAACTATTGAACAAAATTTGGTTAAAAATACATTGTCTAAATTAGCCAAAAATGTTGTTATCGTTTATCGATGTAAGTGATATAGAGCGATGAATTACGTATTTGCGTTTTATTCGTCGAATGACCCAAATAATGGTATTGGTAAGGCAATAATAAATAAATTTTGGTATTGGTATTGCAATACTGGTTTTTAAATTGTATTGGTATTGGTATTGCCAATAGATTTTACAGGCAGTATTGGTATTGGTATTGCCAATAATTTTTTTTAGTATTGTTAACAACCCTGTTTAAAATGTTTAGTAAAGGGACACTTGTTTCATTCAAAAATGCTTTAGATTTGTGAGGGATAGGGTTTCTACGCATATCAAGCTGGTATAAGATTATTTAGTTTAAATATATAAAATAAGAAGTAAGAGGAAGACTCAAACGTGTCATAATTATTACGCTCGTTGTGAAGGACATAGTAGTAGATTTGTGTCATACTAAGGTCTGAACGAGATCTAAGTCACGATAATGTGCACCGTGGCTTCATAATAACCGTGTATGTCTCCTCGATCAAGAGGAAATCAAGAATATGTCTGTGTGTGTTTCTGTTTGTGTGTGTTTGTTGGTGTGCATGTGTGTGCTGGTGTGTGCGTGTGTGTGTGTTTGTGTGTGTATGTGTTTAAGTGTGTATGTGTGTGTGTGTGCGTGTGTGGAGACAGAGTTGGTAGCGTCATTGTTAAGCTTACAGACGTACTCCAAGAAATATTTGAGCTTATATGATTTAGTTACAGCGTCTTAACAATTACTCAGAATGAAATTTTTAAAATTTTCATTTTTTTAGAGACAGAAGAGAACACACAAAAATATGTCTCCATTTCTTTATTAATGTCAATCAATGCCTTTCCACGGCACATGTTTCATCAAAGTAGTTCCAAGATTTAGACAAAAATGGGGTCCATACGTCCAATCCCTATTTGAGCCCCTCGAAAGCTCATCAAATGTTCCACGGTCAGTTCCGGGTGAATTAGTTTGGGATACAAATGTATCTTTTGCATTTTGACAGACAGCATTGCATGTTTTCCGGACAGATCCCATTTTCTTCACAAGAGATCATCTTCCGAGCTTCCAGATCGCATGTGCTCGTGTCATTTTTATAGTACATTGAGGGCGTTGGGCATGTGCTCTCGGTCTTGTCTTCAGGGATGCATCGCTGAGTAGGCGTCCAGTTGCAGAGACGCGGGCTGGTTTCGGCGATGCATTCGGGCGTCACAAAATGGCACGTGGAGTTTATGTCGCACTGAAGTCGGCACAAGCCGGGCTCGGGCGTTACGCATTTGTAGGTGGGGCACGGAGGTTTGACACAGCGGATCAACGTGTCCACGCAGACCAGACCGGGGGAACATCTTCCACAGGCAGTGATGGGCTTGTGAGAAAAATAAAGATTCATTTAAAAGGAAAAAACCAATAATTAAAGTATGTAAAAAAAAAAAGATAGAGCCCTCTTGTTAAAGAGTTTTATTATTTTTTTATTGAACAAACGTGACGTTTTCGGTCAGTTTATCGTTTTCTTGTGAAGTTATCACCCGAAATCTATTGATGATCTCGTTGCAACTGAATAGTGTCAACATCGCGTCTTCTTCGTTTCACGGAGGGTGGGTAGGCGCGCTCCTATAAGAGGAGTAGAGTTTTAGGGATTTAAATAAAAGAAAAAAACACTACTTTTGTCGATGTAACGCTATCAAAATTTTTTAATGATACGAAGTAGCAAATAGAAATATAAAACAATCTATCACACTAAACCACTAAAAATGAGAAAACACTTAAATATTATTCAGATGCATTGCGCTAAGAAAGTCTGACAAATACATATTTTTATTTTTATTTTAAACATATTTAAATCCGACTATCTTTGCGGAATTATTTTCTGCTTTTCAGTGGTTACATTCGTCTTTGATTGAAAGTCTTTATTTAAAAGTGTTATTATTATTTTTTTTATTTGCCTCTTTTCAGTTTTCCAAATTTAAATTTTGATATTATCAAAGCAGTATTATTTAGTTTTTCCTTTTCAAAATCCCCAAAGTGCAACGGCGCCCACAGGACCTTAGAGACCCTCACTCCCCCCCCCCCCGGTCATAAATCTCCCGTCATGCTCTGAACGAAGCAGACCCGATGTTTTCCTGACTTGGAGGCGAACTTACAGGTGATGACGTGATAGCGAGTTCCCTTAGTGAGTGTGTAAACAAAAAGAACTCTCGTCATACGCGACGGAAATTCCAGTAGAGACAAAACCCTAGAAAAATTAATAGATAAAACAACTTCAAGTTGCGTCAGCATTCATTCCGAAACCTGTGGCTACATAGAATGCTCAGCTCCGTAAATATATAATAATTTTTCTTTGTTTTTGTAATGCATTTTAAGAATATTTAATTATTTTCTATCATTTAATGCTCTAAAACACATTCTTTGCTACAAAGTCATGTTTTTTTTTTGTTGTAAAAACAATTAAAAAAAAAAAATATAATCTATAATTCAATTAAACTCTACAACCAGCTCTGTATTTTTGGCAATGCTTCACTGGTTCTTTTTAATTTTTTTTGTAAATATATAATAATTTTTCTTTGTTTTTGTAATGCATTTTAAGAATATTTAATTATTTTCTATCATGTAATGCTCTAAAACACATTCTTTGCTACAAAGTTATGTTTTTTTTTTGTTGTAAAAACAATTAAAAAAAAAAATATAATCTATAATTCAATTAAACTCTACAACCAGCTCTGTATTTCTGGCAATGCTTCACTGGTGCTTTTTAATTTTTTTGACCAAATTGAATGGGAAGACGATGCATATTCTGAAAAAAGGAAAGCCTTTCCAAATGTTGCATTTCTTGTTGGATTTCGAGTTCGCTTCGTTAATCTAAAAAAAAATATTTAATCTGTCGCATCAAATGTGTATACAATATATAATAAACTGATTTTAACTCACCACTACTTCATAATTAGTCGTATTTATGACGCACTGTCGGGTAGGCTCAGTATCACACAAAAACAGATCGCAGATGGCACTCGCGTCGGCCTCGATCAGCAGCTGACAATCTTCAGAGATGCTACACGGGTTGTATAGCTCCAAGCACGTCTCTCCCGGCGCGCAGCCACCACAAAGATCTCTGGGCTGACAAGTGTGAGTCCTGCATGATTCACAAGTCGTACTCGATTCTAAACAGACTTCGTTATCTCGACAGCCGCCACACGAATTGTTGGCCACACACTTGTAAACTGGACAAGGTCCTGTGACGCAGACGATACCGGTATCGATGCAGACCTGGTCTTCTCGACAACCTCCACATTGGCCCGTTTCATTTTTCTAATGGGAACAATTAAAATGCAGATAATTTAATTTAAAATTACTTATCTAGAATATCGTAAGTAAATGAATAGAGGCGCACGATATTCTAGTTACTTAGAGTATGATCTTAAGATGTTTACGGTTAAAATTTCAATGAAAGAATGTTATTTTCAGACCAGCGGTTCTCAACCTTGTGGGTCGCGACCCCTTTGGGGATCGAACGACCCTTTCATAGGGGTCACCTACGACCATCGGAAAACACATGTACCCTACAGTTATGAAGTAGCAACGAAAATAACTTTATGGTTGTGGGGTAACCACAACACGGGGAACTGTATTAAACTTGTCTGCCACCAAACCCGGACGCTTGTTCCAAAAAGGTTCAGGACCGCTGTCTTATTAGCTTTAAATGAACTATACAAAAAAAAAAACTTGAAGTTTAAAAGAAAATGATAGGAAAAAAAAGCCTCTGATAAGATTGTTAAGTACATCTGAATCAAATGTTTTAATTCAGACATTGGATTTCATTTTAAGCATCTAACAATCTGTCTTCGTTCATTCTCCCTCTTCCATTTTTTTTTCTCTTTCTCTCTCTCTCCCTCCTTTTATCTTCCCATCTTTCTCTTCGCGCGATCTCTCGCTCTCTCTCTCTCTCTTTCTTTCTCTCTCTCGCTCTTTCTCTCTCTCTCTCTCATTCTCCTTCTCTCTTTCTCTCGTTTCCGATATATCTTTAGGTAATATGGTGAAATCATGTTAAATGATTAACGTTTTTTTTTCTTCTTGTGAAACCGTTTTAATATGTATTTTGATTTCCTTTAAAATAAAGCATTACCCTACACGCCTGTGCGTGTGCGTGCAAAGTGGTTCCTATCCTTGAAACACTATACACATACCTCAACAACGTTTGAATAAGAATAAATCGATCTTGTCTGTGCTAGAGAGCCTCGGGTAAAGGTAGATTATAGGTAATCCATACAATTAGATTATGGTTAAAGGTAGATTATACTTAAAGGTAGATTATGTCGTTTTCTCTGGAAATTACTTTTAATTCCCATTAATTTGTGATTTATTGCAGGTATTGTATCATTATGTTAATCATGCTATCACTTTTTTTTTTCTGATTTTTGCGTCCGATTTTAATTTTACTTCCGGCACTTGACACTCCAATGAAAGAATGTTATTATGTACCTACTTTGTAAGGTAAAGGACTAACCTCTCGACACTCAAACAAGTCAAGGCATTCTGTACTCCGACCCTCGTTAGCCCTCCCTGGGAAACAATCCTGTCCAACCTTCGCGCAAATCTCTTCATCACCGCACCGGGTGCAATTCTCGGCAACACACACTGGAGGTAAAGACTCTTCACACGGCTTTCCGTTTGGGCAAGGTGGAGTTTTCAGTAAGCATGTGTATCCTGAAATCAGAATAACATAAAAGATGAGAAAAAAAAAATACAATAATTTTTTAATATATTTTTTTAGATAAATAAATCTAATTGTCAAAAATCTTAACCCATGCGAAGATAACCGTGTTCATAAAGTTATATAAAATAAAACCGTGGTTTGGATATCGTGGCTTTGACACACACACACACACAAATGTTGCGATTTTTTGTTATAATAATATTACATTCAAATTCTATAAAGTTCTATCAAATAAAACATATTAAAATGTTCAAATGACCATCTGGACAGCGGACCGGACAGATCGCTGGGACGATTGGCTGTATGCACAGCTTGACTCCAGTCGGACCTTCACAGCACTTTTGGTCAGGTCCACATTCTTGGTCCCAGAGGCAGGCTTTATGGTCATGGACAACAGTTGCCTTAAATGACAAAGACATTAGCAGATATATGAAACTAAATGTCCCGTGATTAAAGCTCTACACTCTACTGTATTAGGGAAGCACTTGCCTTAAATAATGAACACGTTAGCAGGTGTATGAAACTAGATGCCTGTTCTTAAGGCTCTACTATATTAGGGAAGTGACTCAATTGAAGAGGTGTGCACCAGAGCACGTTTAATCAGGCGAGACTTTAAAAAAGAACCTTCCGATGTACAGAATAATTGTAAAGGATTGATATAATTTGGTAGTTTTACTTTTCATTCAGAACAAGAAACTTTTGAACGATTTTTTACTAGAATGACTCGTCAGATACTTATAGTAGGAACAAAAGGACATAGGCACCAACCGTAGGTACGGGCACACACTAACCGTAGGCACGGGGCACACACTAAACTAAACGCAGGCTCGGGGCGACACTAAGCGTACGTACGGGCCCCCCCCACTAACCGTAGGCACGGGGCACACACTAACCGTAGGCACGGGCACACACTAACCGTAGGCACGGGGCACACTCCGGGTCTCACTTCGTCGACCAACGTGCCATGGCAACACATGTTTTCACCTTTACCGTCGACCACACACGATGACCCGGTGGGGCATTGTTCCATAGGATTAGGACCCTTGCACGTCAAGAGCCCGTATTTAGAAGGGTCCATTGCGCAGTGAGTCAAAATAGCTTTCAGCTTGTTGGCTTGAATGCAAGCTTTATCTATATCTGTGTGGAGTAAAAGAACAAACATCATTTTTTTGTTCCCATTTCGAAAAAACAAAACAAAACAAACATACTGTTTTAGGGAAGTAGGATTTGTTTCATGAGAAGCAGAAATCACGTGACCCGAAACCTTTCTTTTCTTTATGAACAATCAAATGTAACTTGGTCATTGTGATGCAGATGCAATATATTTTCTGTCTCGGAACATACGATTTAAAAAAAAATCGATTTAAAAAAAAATATTTAATCTATTGAATTTTAGAATTATGCATTTTTAAAGTCCATGATTTAATCCAGGCCTGCACACCATACGCCCCCCCCCCCCGGCAACAAGTGGCCCGCCAGCACCCACTTTGCGGCACGCGAAGTAACTAAATATTCTTTATTCTTATTATTTTCTTCATAACTTTCCCAGCTGTCCAATTTTCTTTTGGCCCGCACAAGTCCTGTCATATTTATTGTTTTTGGCCCGCATAAGTTTTCATAAGGTATTACGACCCGCCTTACAATTTGCGTTCTGCAGGCCTGATTTAATCTATTCAATTCGACAAGTATGCATTGTTAAAAAGTCCTTGATTTAATCTATTCAATTCGACAAGTATGCATTGTTAAAAAGTCCTTGATTTAATCTATTCAATTCGACAAGTATGCATTGTTAAAAAGTCCTTGAATTAATCTATTCAATTCAAAAAGTATGCATTGTTAAAGTCCTTGATTTAATCTATTCAATTCGATAAATATGCATTGTTAAAAAGTCCTTGATTTAATCTATTCCATTCGATAAATATGCATTGTTAAAAAGTCCTTGATTTAATCTATTCAATTCGACAAGTATGCATTGTTAAAAAGTCCTTGAATTAATCTATTCAATTCGAAAAGTATGCATTGTTAAAGTCCTTGATTTAATCTATTCCATTTGACAAATATGCATTGTTAAAAAGTCCTTGATTTAATATCTATTCCAACAAACTAAGCCTATAAGCTTTGTTTGTGTCGATCTGTTACTGGCATCTTAGCATTTATTTAAACATTTGAATATCGGAATTAAAATCAGAAGTCGCCCAGTTGAAAAATGTTATTTATCGCCCAAACTGCATAAGGAAGACAAATACTGTTTTCAAAAGGAATGCAATCGTTGACGATAGATCAGCAAAACAGGGCGTCAGTTGAAAAATTAAAATTAACGTAAACTTTATAGACATGATTTTATATGGTAAATACCTTCATAGAACCACTGGTGGCCTTTTTTCCCCCTGTTCATGAAATAGGTTTGAAGAAAGTAATCTGTTCATCACCCCCCCCCCCCCCCCCCCCGGGGCCGGTTATATTTTTGTAAGATTATCATATGCACGCACTCGACATGAGATTTGCTGCCTGACGTACTACTCGGCGCTTACAGACAAAAACTAGGGTTTTTTTTAAATTTGGGGAGGGGGGTTCAAGTTCAAGAAATAAGTTTGAAGTTCATAATATGTTAATCTTCCCCAATTTACCTTTTTTTTAAAAAAAAAATTACCTTTATCTAAGATGGTTGGACTCACGCACTCGACCTGAAGCTGGCTGCAGGAGGACTGACTGACCACACGGCACTTGGAGTCAGCACTGCACGCGACACGATCACAGGGGTCCTCAACTAACAAATCAATAGCAGGGGCTAAAATAGACATGAAATAAACACTGAAATTAAATGTGTACGTTTCAACATCTTACGAAAGTGTCAAAATATGCAGAGTAAATGATTGAACCGTATTACAAAAGTCAACTCATTTCATTTACACAGCGGTATGTGAAGCTCAATTTTCTTCAATTTTTTAAAAATCCTTTATATTAACTTCGCTTTTGTTCTAGTGTTCTGGCTGGGTGGAAAAAATCTTCGGACGACTTACTGACCCACTTCCCGTCAAATTTTCGAGCTGAAATTTAGCACTTAGCCATCATCATCCCACTGTTGTCGGTGTTTTTCAAGGGAACGATGAAATAAATATGATGACACGGATTTCACGAGATAAAATTCCCGATAAATGCGCTAAACGAGATTCTTTATTAAAAAATTATCGCAAGTGCGTTTTCTTTTTTTTTTTTTTCCCTAAAATAGTTGTATAAATAAATCTGTCGTGTCGCATTGGGTTGGTCATTACTACAAGATTTAGATTTTCTTGAATGTTTTTTATGTTTTTTTTTAATAATTTTCAGCCCCACCCCGATTGCTCGATTTTACATTTTATACAGGGTTTTTACGAAAAGCTTTGTTTGAAGGTGTTAAAAAAAAAAAAAAATTAAGTCTTTAAAAGATGATCTGGAAAATAATACATTTCTTGTTCACAATTATAGACGATAACCTTTCAACTGTACTATCTAGACAACTGAACTATTCAGACAACTGTACTATTCAACAAAGAAGATGAGCTGACAGTTTGTTAGGTAAGGGACAAATCAAACACTTTCTTGTATACAAATTGAAATGAAATCTAAAATTTAAACTTTTGTTTTCTTTTTTTTTTTTTTTTTTTTTTTTTTTTTTTTTTTTTTTTTTTTTTTTTTTTTTTTTTTTTTGTTAGTATATTTTTTATACGAATACAGAAAACAGTCGGCTACCTGGTGCAGAGCAGGCGTGGCCTCCACACACAGTCTTGCAACACTTCTGGTTGCCAGGACACATCTCGTCTGCCTCACATTCACACATGCAGGTCGATAAAAGCGTCGGCTGGAGAAGGCATACGACGCGTGGGTACTTAAGAATCAACTACTGTTTTTATGTATTTTTAGTTTATATTTAATTAGATATTTTTTTTAGAATCCTTACAGTATGATTTTTTAAAAAGTAAAATAAAATTGCTGCATAAAACATATTATATGACATGCCAATATATCCCCTCCAATATTAATACATTATTTTTTTTTCATAGAAATAACTTTGGTATAAAAACCCTATTTTACAATATAATCATGTGTATGCTTGCTTTAATGACAGGGTTAAAATCTACCGTGTTAGACAGTATAAGTTAATGACAATATAAAATGAATAAAACAGAGTATGGTTAAACCTGAAAAAAAGGAACGCAACAAAACAACGAACGTGTCGGCAGAAAGCCTTCGTCAGCGAACTAAACACCAGAGAAAAACAGTATAAAAATAAAGATAAGGAATAGCACTTAGCTTAGAAGTAGTATCCGTAGCCAGCAAAAGAAAAAGTTAATGACACTTATTTTTACAGCTATTTAATTATTTAAGAGCATTAAAAAGATATAAAAAAACTCATCAAAATATATATTTAATAAACTAGACGATCTGACCCGGTGTTGCCGGGATGAAAATGGAAGACGTACAGCGCTACGTTCTATCTGCTATTGCGAAGTCACAATGTATACAAATAGATTTCTTAAGCGTTTAATCGAGCCAGGTTTTGAGAGGTTGTATCTTATAATTTTTAAAATGTCTATTTATAGATGTTTAATGGGTCTAAAACAAACTAAGTTTTTTTTCTTTTTTTTTTTTTTTTTTTTTTTTTTTTTTTTTTTTTTTTTTGAGAAATCGGTATCTGCTGTACAATATTATAGTGCTATCAGACACTTTTCACTACCCTGAACTACAAAAAAAACAAACTTATATTAACTTTTTAAAAAAGTCAATTAATATTATAGATATTTAAAAAGGGTACACTCATTTTAACAATATAAGGATATTTAGATATAATAATTGTATCTCCATTAAAAATGTATCAAAACGTTTGCCTCACCCCTAAAATATATCATTGGAAAATCGTACAAGTTCGAATTATTATATCTATCAAGAAAAATCTTGACGCCAATGTTCATGTCTGTAACTGGATTGTGTTTTTTCAATAATATAAACATTATCGAAGTAAAACAATTTTTTATATTTTTTTTATTTTAAAACAAAATCATAACCTATCACACCCCAGAGCCTTATTTTCAGGAAATGATTATGCAATGACTTTATTTATTAAGATTAGATTTTAACATTTGTTGTTATGAAATGTTGTAAAATGTTTTGAATTTTTAAAAAATGATTATCCACATATAAATGTCTTTTTTTTTTTTTTTTTTTTTTTTTTAACTGGAAAAGAATATTCCAAAAAGTTTAAAAATAAAGTTACTAAATATAACCAAATTGTTATCTTTATTAGCATCTGTCCTTCCTTTAACCTTGCCCCTGAACTACATTTTTTTTTTGAAGAAAAATGGGTTATTCTCGATGGCCTTAGTTTGAAAGAAAATCTCATCCAGTATTTCCCCCTTTCCATCTTCATTAAATTTTGCGGAATGCGTAAATCTTGCCACAATGAGTCAACACTCTACAATTGTATTTGTCGACATTGGTCGAGCGCATACTTATTTAACTTTTCTTTTAAATTTAAAACTTATTTTCCACAACTACATTACCATCGAATTTCAAAAAAAAAAAAAAAAAAGAGTCGTCCACACATTAAAATGTACACACAGTCTTTTCTGCCCCTTGAAATGTGTTTGCAGAAGGAGGATAAATATATGATTTAATTTTTTGAAAAAACTTTATATCAATTTCTGGTATTTAGCATATGTGGAATTTGACATATTGTTTTAGCTATAAAATACGCCCACGCGGTGTTGTTGCGTTTCTTGTGCTGCCTGTGGCAAAGTCAAACGATCGCAGTCCCTCTCCACCACACACCCTAATATTTTATAACGTTTTTAAAAAACATCAATAAAAGCGCCCAGGGATGTTGAAACTATCGGTATGCCTCGGTACATTATTTACACGCCTCTAAACTTTATTAGCATTCCAATGTCCCACTCCATTTTTAGTACAATGTGCTTCATTTTCTAAAAAACAAAATAGTCTGTTTTTTTTTTAAAGAGTATGGCAATTAAAAAAAAAAAATCCACACCGAAGTTAAAATCAATAACATAATCGGGTCGCAATTATTGATTATAGTACATAGATAATATGAGCCCCTTCCCTTCATTGTCTTCACCCTTAAAATGTGAAAACAAAAATAAAAAGGTACATAGGTATTGCTTTACGTTACATTATATATATATATATACAAAAATATTTAGTTAATAAAATGTTGGGGTTAAAGATATTGCTAAAACAAAAAAGGTGCATTTGCTGCAGATATAAAAAAACTTTTCAACATGTACCCCCCCCCCCCTAAAAAAATTTAGTTAATAAAATGTTGGGGTTAAAGATATTGCTAAAAAAAAAAAGGTGCATTTGCTGCAGAAAAAAAAAAACTTTTCAACATGTACCCCCCCCCCCCCACTCACAAAAAAAAAAACGTGCAGAATATGTTAAACGACTCACTATCAGATTAAGCTTAAAAGACACTCGCTCTATAATAAATTAGACTAATACATAGTTGATTAGAAAGAATGTCAGTCTCCTCCTATGCACTGCACTATCTTACATTCAGATGTTTACTTAAAATAATGCTTTTTTAAAATTTTAATTGTATATTTTATTTATGATAATAATACTTTTACATTTAAAAAAATTACATTTATAAAAGCAACAATTATTTTATCATAAAATATTTCAAAGATTATTGCCATTGTTTTTTAGAATCCAAATTCGAAACGGGTCTTGTAATCAAAGATGGATAGTGAACACAATATTGCACGTAGTTTGGTTTTGTTTAAGAAAAATAATACTTAGATTATATCTTAGAACATATTAGCATACTTATTTTATCGGAATTAAATTGATTCGATTCCAGAAAAATTAAAAATCATTTACAATTAATTGTTTTTTAAGAAATCCTTTTACTCCATGCGTTTAAATGTTCAACTCTAGTAGACTCAAATGTGTACGAGGTTTGGAGCAATCATGGGAAATTTTATTTAGTGGGACTATTTAAATCCTCATGGTGACATTAGGATATTCCTATTTTTATGTCAGTAAGTACCTTGACTTATTTGAGCTAAATATGCGCTTAGGTTAAAAAAAGGGAATAATAATATGAAGTAGCAGAGTCAACAAATTTTGCTTTATTTAGTTCACGAGTAATGCAGATGTTACAGATGTTTAACATAAAACTGCATACAGATAATACTTATTTACTACAAATACTTATGTACTATAGATACTTATATACTGTATATACTTACATACCACATATGCTTATGTACCACATATTCTTATGTACCACACATATACATATTTACCACAGACAACTATGTGCCACAGATACATTTATTCTACAGATACTTATGCACCATATATACTGATGTTAAAAACCCGAGCTTACATGTGGACACACTCCTGGGCGTGTCTCTCTTCTAATCTCACAGCGGGTACCATAAAATCCTACAGCACATTTGCATATTTCGACACCCTGCTCGGAAGTGCAAACACCTCCGTTGATACAGTAGCGTTCACAAGGGTATGGTTGGTGCCCTTTCAAAAAAAAAAAAAAAATTTTATCAGACTTTGAACTAAACAAGGGATGTTCATAGTTTAAAACTGAGAGCTAACAAAACAAATGTCCGAACTCAAGAAGTCTATTATTATTCAACAAAACAAAATCATTTTAAAATGTATGATCGTGTAGGTAGATGTGTAGATTGTAGATGTAACATTGTTTGCTAGAATGTTTTGGTCACCAGCGAGGCATGGAGTTAAATGACGACGCTGATAAACTCTTACCTTTAAAATATAATTATTTTTTTTTTTTTTTTTTTTTTCTTTTTTTTTTTCGCCTTTCAATGTTCCTCGTCCTATACAATAGCGCCACTTCGCATCACTACAAGTATACTAATTATATAGAAGATGTTTTCTTTTTTTAAACGCAAGTCGTGTTAAAATAAAAGAATTCAATTTTTTAACTTTGAATTCTTTTTTTTTTGTTCTATTTTTAAAATTATTTTTAGTTGTCATTTTTTGCAACATTTATTTTTTTCAAAAAAAATGATGAATTTATTGGAATTCTATCAATAATAATGTACATGTAATTTTGTTACAAATTTTGATCACCTTTAACATCTGTCTTCAAACACATTTTTCCACAAAATGTGAAACAACATTTCTGTTGTATTGAGCACTCCCAGTCATTGTCGCAGTGCAGACCTGAGCACTTCTCCAAGTCTCTGAACAAGAGCTGGAAGACGTGGGGCAATCAAGTTTTATAGAGATTAAATTTAACTGACATTTTGACCATAGTGATAAAATTTTGTATGGAGTAGTGTAAATGGAAAGAAGACGAAACCTAAAATTGTTTGAGAAATGAGAAATCCTTCACTAAAACCCGAGACCCATCGTGATTAATTTAGAAACATTAAGTTTGTTCTTTTTTTTTTTTAAATGTGTTCTGGCTGAGTTGCTAAACTTTCGAACGGCTAATTGACTCACTTTCCGTCATACTATCGAGATGAAAATTGGCGCATAGACTCGTTACCGATGTCAACTCATTAAATCCAATTTTTACGCCCACCTCCAAACCCCCTAAAATTAGTTTTTCCTGTATTTGAAGGGGAAAATGAAGGAGATACAAAAAAAAAAAAAAAAAAAAAAAAAAAAAAAAAAAGAAAATTCCCTATAACTGCGCTAATTGAGATTCTTTTAAAAAAATATCTCAAGTACGTTTGTTTCGTTTTTTTTTTCTGGAAATAGTTGTTGAAATAAATCTGCTGTGTAAAATCGGGGGCTGTCAAATTTTAATCTTTTAAGTTGGTGTGTATTCAATGTTTATTCAATTTTTTTTTTTTACCTTAATCCATATAGGTATAGAAGTTTTTTTTTTGTTTTAAATAATATATTATTTTTCATATATTCTTATTTAATTAATAATAATAATAGAACGTAATATAGATGTGAAACATGTTGGGAGTGATGTTTTATCCCTACATACATGTGTTCATAATGATTTTATTCTAATTCTTAATTGCAAGCCCTTTAAATAGTTTATCCTTTATTGTCTTATGTTCAAAACTTATGACAATTAAAAATTCTCTGGGTATATATTTTATAATGGCCGTAACGTTGTTGAGACGCGCTAAAATAAAATTCTCAGAAGTTAGCACTCACTGTGATTCCTATAAATTGCGTTACTTTGAATTAATTTTTTGTCAAACAACTAAAGAAGATGGTAAGTTAATACATTGCAACCGCCATTGTTTTACTGGCTTTTTCTTGTATTTATATATATATATATATCAACAAATGTGTGTGTGTGTGTGTGGTTGTAGGAATATAGAAACTAAGAAAGATAATATTTATAGAACTCCTCCCCATGTCTGGCTGCTACTCACCGAAAATGCCGGGCACTGTCCAGGGTGGTCAATGACGACGTCGACATTGTCAATCTTCGTCTGACAGCGCTCACCGTAATACTGGCTGCGACATTTACAGAAGGGGTGTCCTTTATAAACTAGACAGCGCCCTCCGTTGAGACAGTAATCCTTGCACGGGTCGGTCAGAATAACTGTTGAATGATTTCATCGTTAGCTGTACACATTATTTAAAATACGATATATGCAGTGGCTGATTTGTTATAAGTAAGGGCTTTCTTCAAAAAGTATTCTTTTTAAAAAAATATTTAAAAAATCCACTACTTATAAGACTGTGCTGTTTCAAAAGTCACCTGGTTGTAGCCCAGTGCTACGTCTTTAGCTTCAAAAGTTTAAGGAGTCACAATGGTTACGTATATTATATGGTTAACGTGTGCTCTCTTTAGAGCAAAGTATAATTAATTGTTGTTTTTTTAAACCCATGTTCCGTACAAATCCAGCAGGAGGTGCAGCATGTCTGGGCGATGTATTATAAACGTTATCAATCTTTTTAAAAAAATAAATGTTTACCAATCACGCTCGCGCTCGCCAATGTGACGTTATTAGTAGCCTTGACTTGAGTTGTATTTTGTTTAAAGTGAGGGAGAGATGCTCAACTCGTAAGCCTCACTTTCTCTTCCTCGGCTATTTGATTCAATGGCAAGACTTAGTCAAGACAACTGGGAAAGGATCAGGATGCAGAAGATGACCAGCAGAGTGTCTTGTGCGTTTCATTGTGCTTTTTACGCGTTCCACGTCGCAAGGGTTTCGCAAGATTTGTCGGGATTTTCATCGTGTCTATGTCATACCGGCTACGAGACTCCATCTCCGGGTTTCGATTTCACAGTTTGCCTTCTCTTTAGATAAGTTGCCATCCAAAGCTGCTATCAACAAGTCTCATCCACCCGGGTGCTGGTGGTGCTTTTGGATTTGCTGGGGATTGAATCCGTTGGATGGACTCAGTTTAGACCATCCGGCCACACAGCAACCCGACGCGAATTTTAATAAACCATTTTAACAAACTGTTATACTTTGTTTAAATTCATCAGTTTGATATGGATGAGCATCTACGTAATCTATATGGGGGTAGACGTTGTAACGCTTAAGAAATCAGTCACACAAATATAGTGTTTTTTTTTTTTTCTGTATACACCGTTTTACAACATTTTATAGACCAACAAATAAATAGAACTTAAAAAAAAAAAAACTTAAACAGCTTAAAATTCAACAAAACAAAAAAAGTAAATTATTTTACAGGTTTTTACTGTTCCAAAACGGAATGGGGTAGATGTTGTAACGCTTAAGAAATCAGTCACACAAATTTAGTGTTTTTTTTTTTTTCTGTATACACCGTTTTACAACATTTTATAGACCAACAAATAAATAGAACTTAAAAAAAAAAGAACTTAAACAGCTTAAAATTCAACAACACAAAAACAGTAAATTATTTTACAGGTTTTTACTGTTCCACTCAGCGAATTTAAGACAATGGTAGGATACTTGCATTGACAGTTGTCTCCGTAGTAGCTCGGAAGACAACGACAGTAAGGTGCTCGATCGCTCTCATCCACTAGACACGAGCCCCCATTGTGACACTTGAAGTCCACGCAAGGATTGCGTCGATCTAGAACAAAGAAGACGATTCCGGAAACAAAATGTTAATAGAGTGCTGGAGGAAACGATGTACGACGAAAGTCGTTTGTCTGTTGATTTCAGCCTGACAGTAACTTATGGGTAATTTAGACACATAAATTATACATTCAAAGTCCCAAAATAGTCGTGAAACAAAGCCCAAAAGACCCATCATGCTAAGCACCATGTTAACATCAAATTGTTTTTTTTTTTGTTTTTTTTTTTAGACGTCTTTTGTAAAAGACTGTAAAAATGGGAGGTTTTTACGCCATCGAAAATATCCTAAATATAATCTAACAATTTTTTTTTAAAATGTCTCTTTTGCTTTCAATCTACTGTCCGCATAGATACATTGATTTTTAGACTTTGGGTAAGTTAGATGCGTATATTCGTATAATCAATCGAGGTGTCAAGATTATAAAAAAAAAAATTGATTTGTATAAAATGAATTTAAGATTTACCTACGTTGACATCTTGCTCCGTAAAACTTAGGAGGACAATGACAGAAAGGTTTATTTTTTTTCTGTGACCGGCAGTATCCACCATTTTCACATACGACATTCCCACACAGGTCGTCAGTGTCTGTGGACACGAACAGGCAGACCAAGAAATTTGTATTGAAATAAATTTTTGCTAGTTTTCTCCTTTTTCTTCATGTAAGAGATGCGTGTAATGATGAACAGTTGGTGGTTTGGTAATTATTTGTCAATGCGCGAATACATATGATTTTTTTTTTTAAATCTCACCACCGAGCTTAGATTTCGTCCTCTCCTTAACCGTATAGATGCTTTTATTCTAGTGAAATTTTGGCGAAAACCTGTTTCTAAGGTAATATGTAAATATGTGTACCCATCGTTCTAGAGCCAAACGAAATTAAAGTCTATACAAAATTAATAATTTCAAGCAATCTTTCAAGACCAAAAATGTCATTTTTGCCCCTATTTTACAGTTCACGCGATCAAATATTCGCAAATTTACTTAAAATTTTCGTCAAATTTTCGTCAAATTTCTTTTTGAACAAACTATATTTTAAAATGAGATGGTGCGTTAAAAAAAAAATTGACGCAAATTTTAATCAAATTTGAAGCAAATTAAACGAAAATTCAATCGTTTGAACTGAACATATGTGTTTAGGTTTACAACAAATTTTTTTTTTCAACAAAAACCAATGAACGTAATTCCATTTCATGAAAAGTAACACTTACTTAAAGCCGGAAGTAGCTCGGCAAACACCGCCAGCACAATAAAGATTGCGTTTTGGATGCAGGCCATTTGAGCTGTTCATGTGTTGGCTCAACATTAATAAATCAAGAAATGAAGAGATGGGAGACAAAACACACACACACACATACACACACACACATACATTACACGCGTTAGTCTATGGCTGTAAGTTATAATATTATAAATCAATATTTTTTTAGTGATCTATCGAGCATAAAAACCCAGCAAGTGGTAGGACGGAGTGAAACTTCATGTTCGATAAATAAACAAACCGCTATTACTGCTCACATTATACAGGTTGTTGTTTTCTTTGCCCTTTGCCCTCTGAGACTCCAGATCAACGGTTCTGGACCTGTGGATGGTGATCCCGGGTGGAAAAGGGGGGGGGGCGGAGTCGAACGATCCTAACACCATCGGAAAGCACATACACTCTACAGTCATGAAGTAGCAACGAAAACAAAATTGTGGTTGGGGGTCGCCACAACATGAGGAACAGTATTAAATGGTCGCAGTATTCGCGGTATTCGGAAGGTTGAGAACTACTGTTCTAGACTTTTTAAATACACTTGACATGCAAATTTTGCATTCACCGTGTTAATGATCTCCACTGCTTTAAGCTTATCTTGGATACTGTTTTCCGAAATGTAGCATGCAACTTTTGGAAAGTCTTAAGTGGTTAAGAAATCTATCAGTGTGACTGTCACTTTTCTCTTCAGAAAAATTGGACGAAATGGAAAAAGTAATTGTCTCAATTATATGTGGAAATGATTACCTATGCGAAAGAACTCACTCTAATGTGTTTTGAAATCCCTGATGATTAAGACAGTTTTTGTGCTATGGTACTTCAGTGATGCGTAGAAATATTCTTTTATCACACAACACAACGTGATCATTGAGTTTTGCAAAGATTTTATTTCGCTAGCCTCTCTCTTGACACAATACTTGGTCGTTGGACAGAAATTTAATAACTCTTGGACATGTAACTTAATGGCTTCCATTTAAGTAACTGCGACACTACGACATTTACTTGACGTTGGCGGCAGTGCACATATTGACGGTCTCTTCATTACATTGGTGCCGATGCGTGATATTTTGGGCATCACCATAACATATATCGGCCATTGAAAAAATCGATTTTCCGTTAACACATAAAAAAAAAAAAAAAAAAAATTGACCCTTTGTAAATCTTCTCTCTGCCATAGTTATAGTTTTTGACATCTGCCCGATGCCCTTGAAAATGTTCACCCAAATATCCAACTGCAACGACTAACTTCTGCTAGCCGTCTCGTCTGCTAAATAGCGCTTATAAATTAATGTAATCATCTCTTTGATGGTATTTTACATGATGTTTGCCACATTACATTTTTACACATGAAACCTTCGCTAATTGTGGTAATTTCGAATTGACCACTTCTTGCAGAACGTTCAATATCAGAGTGTTTTATATTATCAGGTAAATTCGAATAAATCTTTTAAACCTAAATCGTGCTACCTAGACTGCGTAATGGGTGTAGCCAAAAGGTGGTGGAGATACCACAAACTGATCAAATGTAAATAATTGACCTTCTTCATCGCTGCTTTCCAAACTGTTTGTCGTGACAGTGTAAGTGTATCGTCTGCAGAGTTAAGGTGTGGCGCGAGAAAATAAGCCACACCAAAATTTACCAATTATTTAACTTTAAAAGAAAAAACAACTTTGGAAATGAATGCAGAAAATTATGGAAACGTGGTTGAAAATGGGAAATAAAATTGAAATAAGACCTCCTCAATCAAGATTGTGTTGCTGTTGTGTGTGTGTAGAAATTGCGTCAAAATCTGAGAAGAAGAAAAATCCACATACAAACCACCGGAGGAACCTGAAGAGATTATGCGCAGGGCCTGCCATATACAGGCGTAAATCTAATAATAGAACATCCGGGTGTACAGTCTGGCCAAGCACACTTAAGATATTAATTTAAAAAAAAAGAAAACTGGTGTTCCGTTTGGCCAATCTCTCAACAGCTGTTCGGCACTTCTATGTTAATGTGAGCCTTAAACTAGACGGCAACGGTGTTTACAACTTTATTTTAAGCACAATTTTACAAACAAATTTTTGCTGTGATGTATGCGGAAATGCATTGTTAAGAGCTATTTTTTTACGAAAAAAAATGTAACGTTACGCAATGTGATGTGATGTTTCCCAAACTTAGACATGACAAACCCTATAGGAATTGGGGTTAACGCGCTTCCATTTTGTTTTGGTGTGTGTTTGTGTGTGTGTGTGTGGTTTGGGGGGTGGGGTTGGGTAATGAGCGAGATTATCAAATTTATAAAAAAAAATATTTCTGCACAAAGTTTGTATATTTTGATCTTGCTGATATCTTTATTATTCAAATGAAACAAAAACCGACATTCGTAAATTTATTCGGAATAGAAAGACAAAGAAGACAATGGGGAAAAATATGTCGAAATAACTGAGTGCGACCTGAATGTGATAGTGGGCCAATTCTCATTTGTCCTAATTGTTTAACAATTCCCACTGCTCTTAATTGTGGACCAATTCTCATTTGTACTAATTGTGGACCGATTCTTATTTATCTTAATTGTGGACCAATTTCATAACTCTTAATTGTGGACGAATTCTCATTGCTCCTAAATGTGAACCAATGTTCATTACTCCTAATTGTGGACCAATTCTCCTTTTCTCTTAATTGTGGACCAATGTTCATAGCTCCTAAATGTTGACAAATTTTCATTACTCCTAATTGTGAAGCAATTGTCAGAGCTCCTAATTTTGGAACACTTTTATTTGCTCTTAATCTTAGACCAATTTTATTTACTCCTAATTTTGGACCAATTTTATTTACTCCTAATTTTGGACCAATTTTATTTGCTCCTAATTGTGGACCAATTTTCATTGCTCCAAAAAGAACGTCTTTGCCCGTAGTTCTTGAAATAGGCCATTTTAGGCTACACACCACCGCAGTCCCACTACCCACAAGTTTCGAAACTGACTTAGGGCCCACTGTATCGCGAAATGGTTTATGCGTGAAAATGTGTCATCAACAGTAAAAGCTTGTAAGGCAACGTGCTACTTTTTGTTTTGTTGCTTAATTGACGATTTTAAAGGAACTAATGGCCGATTTCTCTAAATATTGCAACTTGCTTTTTTGTTTATTCAGTTCAGTCTCATGGACATCCTGTAACAAGAGACCTCCTCTAACAAAGGACATCCTCTAACAAGACATCCTCTAACAAGAGACTCTCGTAAAAAAGATGTGGGTTTTTTTTCTTTTTTTTTGGTTTGGTGGGGAAAGGGGGGGGGGCTCTGACATTCACTGTTGTTAACCCAAGGATCAATGGATGACTATAAAGTGACTGTCCTTTGATCCGTCTGACGTGTAGTCGCACTCGGGATGGTACTTAATGTTGTACTCCCCGACATCTGATTCTTTTGTTAAAAGCCAATCTTGATCGTTTTTGACTTAACGTTGAGTTCCGAATAAATAAATTGAAATGAATGTACAAGAGTAAACAGTTAAGATCAGAACTTCGTTTGTTAGCCGCATTTACAATATGACATGATATAATTTTGGATAATCTGACCTATAACGAGTTGCGCTTAAAGTATTGATTGTAGTAGAAACAAAATATTCCTGAATGCCTTTTTCCGGTTGTCGTGCTATGGCTCTAGGCATAGGGCCCATACCATATTACAGGTTAAGGATAGTTAAATTATATCATCTCTGCTTTGAAGCAGATTATGGGGTCATATTTGTATTTATTTTCTCTACATGGTTTATTTAAGAATTATTTTTTTAACTAAATAATTGATTTTATGTTGTGTTTTTTTTTTTAAATTCTGTTCCCCTTTTTATGTTAATAAATTAATTTTATACTATCTTTGATTCATTCTTCTGAGCTAAAATTCTCTTTATTTTGATAATGTGCTTGTTATTTTAGCAATGCGCAAAATTATTCAAGAGTGAGCTGGTATTCTTATTGGATTAAAGTTCATTATTTTGTTTTTTTCTCATCAAAAAAGTAAATTACATTTGTAATTAGAAAAAAAAGTAAATTAAATTTGTAATTAGAAAAAGGGGGGGGGGGAGTGAAGCAGCAATCAGGTTAGGTAGAAGGAAATTTAGGGAAACCAAGTATGGGGAAAACATGAACAAAAAATGATGCCAAAAACAAAACAAACATTTATTTTGTTTTGTTACTTCCTTTTTTTTTCAGGTTTCCCCAAACTTTGTTTCAAAAACTGCCATTTAAATTTGTAACATTATCCTATATAGACTATCTATCTATTACAAATTATTTTTAAAAAAAAATTATTAATGGAAAATTTCCTTACGATAACATTTTATGAACAGAAAAACAATTAAGGCTTAATAACATTTTGGACCCGTGCTAAAAAAATACTAAAATTGATGACATTTCTGCTTTCACAAATTAAACTAAGATGTCTATTTGCCTAAACAACATTTGGAATGTGACTGTGAAGCTGTAATTTTTTAATATATAAGTATCAACCCTTCCTCCATGAAAACAACTATTATCTTTTGGGTATGCAGGTCATAAATGAGAATCACTGATATAGTTTACAATGATTTTTTTTTCTTTTTTCAATTTCCTTTGCCACCTGCAGTTTAAAGAAATATACAAGTTAATTTTGAAAAGTGGGAAAGCTTCTTTTTCCGTTACTTGTAACTTTGTTTATTTTCAATTTCATAATTCAAAAATGTATCACAATAAAAAACAAACATTATTCAATACTAAATTAAAAAAAAAATTCCACAATATGATAGTTATTAATTTTAAATTAGCAAAATATTAAGCAAATGTTTGAAAACATAATAATCTGATTTCATGGTTTATCTTTTTTTTATCATACACATAAATGAACATTAAGTTCACTACCAAAATCTAAACTAATTCAAGCTTAGAGTAAAAAAAATGGATTTTCCCACATTGATTATGCATTCATATCATTTACAGCCATGGTAATTTGAACAGTCCTTAAAATCGTACAGTTGTGCTACACATAACATGAGTAGCACACTGAATTTTAAATAGGAAGGTGTATTGTGTACACAGGACACATGATGCAAAATATCATAGTACAACAATGATCTAAAATGAAATGTAACTTTTTTTAATTTTATGAATCTAAACTTAAGTGGTGCTTAGCTTGTTATGAATCTAAACTTCAGTGGTGCTTAACTTGTTAT